AAAAGTGACAAGTTTAGGGAAAAGGGACCATATGAATAAAAATGTGAATAAAAGTAGCCAAAGAATGCCTCTGCACAGGGCAGGTCTTGCACTCAGAAAATCAAGCAGGTTACGAGAGGCCTGACATCAGAGGAAGAAAAAAGCGTAAGTAACTGAACAAAGGCTTGGGGTGGGGGTGGGGGGAGGGCTGCACAGATTACTTAAGGAGGACAACAAAGAGACTGGCTTGCTTAGAGCCAAGAGTTTTTATTTCGGATGGAGTTATAACAATTGCGGATATATGGATAATCTTAAGTACCTTGTTAAGTTTAACTTTATTTTGGAGGAAGACTTTAGACTTTAAAGACTTATGAGATAATGAGATATGGTGAAACTTAAGGTTTTGGAAGAATTTCTCTGTAAACTTCCACGGAGTTAACGTTAGGAAATGGAAAACATTCTAACTCTCCCACAGAGCTCCACAGTAGAGCAAAGTGGTTAAAAGGGAGGGTTCTGGAGTCACAATTGCTGCCTGGATCCAAGTCCCATTTCTGCTACCAAACAGCAGTGACACACGGAGCAAGTTTACTTAAACCTTTCTGGACCTCAGTGTCTTCAGAGTTGAGGTTCCTGTGGAGAATGAAAAAGCTGCTACCTAGAGCACTTACAATGACCAGTGACCGTCACACAGCAAGAATACTCTGTTTAGAATTACCATGGGTGACTGCTCACTATAAATTACCAAACAAAATATGGAGAGAATCTCATTATCCCACAAGAAAATTTATAACCTGAGGTTCACAGAAACCAGATATTTGAAATGTCCCTTGCAATGAGTCATTAACTTTTGGATTTTGTTAATGTTGTTTCTCAATCTTCTGGTTAAGATCAAGTGTAAACATCTTACCAAGATGTGTGCTGCTGAAATGGGAAAGCTCACTGGCCAGGGAATCCAGAGACTGGTTACACTGGGTAAAGCCGACCTCAAAATTTCAAGTATCTCAACTGTAAAGTAAGGCCTTGGTGGCCTTAGCCAAGTTTGCAATTCTATTGATGTTACACAGTGACAATGCACACAGCATAGGTTAACTAATGAAGTGCTGTAAAAGGAAACCTATTAGTGGATGCAAATTTCACTTCCACAGGGAGAGAGCTCTAAAACCAGGGACTGTGGATGAGTCTCCAGCATGCTAAACTGATGCCCTTGAGGAAACTCATGTCTGATGGGGCTGCACCACCTGCCTTGCAGTGGGATCAAGGTCTTTCCTACAGCACAGTGAAGGCCTCAGCACTTACTTCTGATAATTCTTTGATCTTCCTAATAGTTGTCCTGTGGCAAATGTGCCTTCAATGTGACACTCACAAATTTGACTATAAATATCTGATTGGTCTTGCCCCATAGCCACTCCTTCCTCCAGTCTCCTGCAACAAGTGGTCCCTGTTTTGTCTTATCATTGGATAGGTCTGTGGTTGTTTCTTGTTGCTGACAGAGTGGCTATTATTTACCATGCCGCCTAAGACTCATTATTGCCACACCCTTTGCTTTTTCCCTTTCCTGACATACTGTGTTTTTGTTCACAGCTGCCATCTTTGTGTGACAAGGCCAGCTTTCTAAGAACATCAAATTGCTCTCATCATCCCATCAGACCTCCTCCCTCCTCACGGAGACCTGCGCTCGTCGGGTTCTGAGTGCTTCTTGTCAGGCACCTGGGACTGCCTATCGTAAGCAAGAGTGTGGGATTAGAAATCAGAGAATCCAGGTCTCCGTCACCATTCTGCCACTTATTAGCTGTGTGACCTTGGGTAAATATGTGCCTTAGTGTCTTGTTATATACAATATGTATATTGTCTACTTCTCAGGACTGCAATGAGAAGTAAATGAGTGCCCAAAGGGGTAAAACCAAAGGCTACCCTGAGATGATTTCAGCTCCTTCTAGGAAGGAAGACGTGTTCCAGGCCCTAGTGTCCTGGAAGGCTGGCCTCCAGACAGCCAGAATTTTCCTTTATTTAATCCACTAAAAGCCTGAGAGGAATTCTGAACCTTGTGCCCAAATAAGCTCTCCAGAATAAGAATCTCTTTTGCACTAACCATATTTATACAGCCCTTTTCAACTTAAGAGATTATTTATGGCTGGAGTGTTACATAAATCAACTGTTTCAATAATAATATTTAACATTCCTTTTCTTTCTCGTAAAAATGAAAATATGGAAAAGTAAAAAAATTTTAAAAATCACCCACATCCCACCACTAGGTGATAGTTTTGACATTTTAATGAATCTCTTTCTAGCATTTTTTCTGATTTTTAAAAAAACATATAACATATTATAGATGTACATATCATTTAGCGACTGGTCTTTTCCATGTAATAATACATCGCACATTTCCTCAGGCCAGGTGTAGTGGCTCACACCTATGATCCCAGCACTTTGGGAGGCCAAGGCGGGAGGACCACTTGAGACTAGGAGTTCCACACCAGCCTGGGCAACATAGCAAAACCCTGTCTCTACAAAAAATAAAAACGTCTCTACAGAAAATAAAAACATAGCCAGGTATGGTTGTGCCTGTAGTCCCATCTACTCTCAAGGCCGATGGCAGGAGAATCGTTTGAGCCCAGAAGTTTGAGGTTACAATGAGCTTGACTAGACCACTGCACTCCAGCCTAGGCAACAGAGCAAGACCCTGTCTCTTAAATTTCCTCAATATTTCAACTCTTAGCTTTCAACTGGAAGATATTTTAAATGTATTTCAAATCAATTCACATATGGAATAGTGATCTAATAAGGACATTATAGACCAACAAAGAATTTTATATATCAAACTTTGTGGTTTATTTTAGAACCCCAGGAAGAGTTATATGTTTATAATAAGAACTTGTATGTGTTAGTAGAACTCAATGGAGAAATGCAAAAATGATAGAAAAAGAAAGCCAAGTATATATAAATTCATTACTTTCATATTATGTAAACTATATGATCTAGAATGCCAAAATTCTCTCTCAATGCGAACTTTTTCAGATAAACTTAGGGTGCTTGAAACTCAGGGTTTTCAAATTAATTGAAAATACAACTACGACAGTCTCTATGGATAATTGATTAGAGGTACTGCCTTCACTCTTGGAATTACTTCTCAAGTCAAACTTGTAACAGAAGCAAAGAAATGTTGTATTCTAGAAAAAAATGATAAAATTTAATATTCTATAAAGTGATAACCAGTAGGTTACATGTCATGATAAACCAAACAGTACAGTTAAACTGAGGAAATACGAAAAATACTGCTCACTATAGCTCATTTGCAACTTTTTTATTTTTTAGAGACAAGGTCTCACTCTGACACCCAGGCTGGAGTGCAGTGGCACGATCATAGCTCACTACAGCCTTCAACTTCTGGGCTCGAGTGGTCCTCCTGCCTCAGTCTCCCAAGTAGCTGGGACTACAGGCACGTGCCAGCATGCCCAGCTGACTTTCATCTGCAACTTTAAGGAGTTCTACAAAACCTGAGTATGATTCATTCCAATATGAAGACAACAGAGACAGGAGAAAAGCACAGATTCCCTCCTACCTTTAATAAACTCGGGAGACGATTAACAAAATGGACTCTTAAAAGCCATTACCGGTCTTTTGCCCTAAGATAAATATTGGTGTGCATGTTCTACTTTAAAATATTTATGCCAAAGATAGAAATTAGACTGCCAAACGTAGGGGAATACGCAAAAGAACTTTGACAAACCAAAGAGAAAAAACAATGAACAAAGGATTTGAACAGTCAAGTCACACAAGAAATTCAAATGGTCAATTAACATGAAAAGACATTCAACCTCACTAATAAAGAAATACAGGCCAGGTGTGGTGGCTCACGCCTCTAATCCTAGCACTTTGGGAGGCCAAGAAGGTGGCAGGATCACTTGAGGCCAGGAGTTCAAGACCAGCCTGGGCAACATGGTGAGACTCCATCTTTACAAAAAATAAAAAATAAAAAAAAAATTAGCTGGGCACAGTGATGCATGCCTATAGTCCTAGCTACTTGGAAGGCTAAGGTAGGAGGATTACTTGAGCCCAGGAATTCGAGGTTGCAGTGAGCTGTGATCATTCCACTGCACTCCAGTGTAGGCAACACAGCAAGACCCTATCTCCAAAGGGGAAAAATACAAATTTAAACAAGAGACAACAGTTTTCTGTTTATGAAATTAGCAAAAATTTAAAAGATAGAAAAATATGGAAGAATGTACACTATCAAACTCTTAGAGGGCATTTGGCAATAATATCAATATTTAAAATGTGCATGTCCTCCCAGCAATCTTACTTTTATAAATTTTTCCTAGAGAAATAGTAACCTAAGGCATAAAGAGTTATGTACAACCATGATCACAGAAACATTATTTCTAACAGACAAAAACTAGAAATACCTAATGGGCTTATCACTACCTAAATGGACCTAAATGGACTTATCACTCAGGGAATGGTTAAGTAAACTATGTGATGTCCATACTAAGAAATTTTACTCAGTTTTAAAAAGATTCACATGGATATTAAATAATAACATGGAGGATGTTTATGATATATCGTTGTGTGAAAAATACAGCAAACTGCACAACCACACAGTCTGAGCCCATTTGTTGTAGGAAACTAAAAATCATACAGGTGATATATCTATTTGTTTTTAAATATTTGAATATGTACAGCAAATGATCTGGAAGAATAAACCCTAAACCATTTTTAGTGTTTCTCTCTGTGATTATAGATATTTCATGGCAAGGAGCGGGGCTAAGATTCTATTTTATAGTCTTCTCTGTTGTTTGAATTTTTGTTATAAGCAGATATATTACTTTTATAATTAAAAATAACCAATGGGGGAGTTCTCTCAAAAAATTAGAATATAACATATTATCACATTGAAATAAAAAATGTACCTCAACATGTCCACTAGTAATTTGAATAGTTACATGCTTCATAAGTAAGTTGGGTAGTTACAGCATAATTATTTAACATAATGACTAAGCATCAAATGTGAATACCCCGCTTACCTCTTTAGGTGATAAATTTTGTGTGTATACTGTCCCTTTTCTCCATCCTTCTCATAAGGTTCATTCTTTAAGACTTCAATTCCTTCTCCACCGCCAGTCTCATTCTTACTAGCTTCTGCAACAGAGTAAAGCTGCCCAACCTGATACTGAAATTTCAAAGAGCACAGAATTTCAGTAAGTCGGCAGTCACTGCATACATTTCCTATGCTAAAATCTTAATATAGAAGATACACAAAAGCATAACCACACTATTCAGCACATATGTTCTATATGAAAACACAACTCAAATTAGAAATTAATGTGTTTAGGAAGTCAAACACCAGATGATCATACAGTTTTAAGAAACTCTATATTTTACAGGATTTCCATTACTCAAAAAAAAAATTCCAGTTACAAATACTCCAGTGTTTTTATACTATCCATTTATCAAGAAAATGTCTTGCCACTTGGTTCAACTTTTGAACAATATACATTTGTACTTTCCAAAGCATTTTCACATCTATTATATCTCATTCAGTTTCACAAAATTCCAAGGAAAGTATGGCAGGAATATAATTGTCACTTTGCCAACTGAAGCTGAGCAACCAGAATATTGACCTTGATACAGAAGAGGGACATATGCTGTAATAACAAAAGCCTGAAGATCCAAAGAATCACTTATGACAGTCCTGATTTTTACAGACCTCTGGGATCTTTTTTCCCCATGACTTACATATTACATGACCAATTTGGCCCTTCCTTAGCCAACCAGAAACAGTGACTGGATGCCCAGGGTCAGAACTGTTAATTGTGAAGTTCTTCAGTAAACAGAAACTGTTTTTAAAGTCTTATAAATATACGAGCATTACCCTAAGAGGCAGGAAATTGCTGGTAGCAGTTTCTATTTCATTTAAAGTGAACCAGAATTCTCAGTGGTCTGCATCAATACCCGTGAGTCAGCACTACTGTACTATGCCAGTCTGGAGCCACTAGAACGAACAAATATTGTAAAAGCAAAGTTCTTGTGTTCTAATTTGTTCCAGTGACCCAGTCATGGCACTATTCCCAAACTCTACAAATTTGGCTACATTTCTTCTTTCCAATGAAGACAGCCTAAAGAAGTGTTTTTCTTCTTTATAAGCATATTTTCAAAGAAAAGCTATAAAAATCTACTTCTAAGAACTTGTAATTCAAAACTAGCATTTTATTTGAGGGACAAAAAAATAGGGGTAGTTGTTAGCTCAGTAAATATTCATATCTAAAAAGCTCATAGGGATATGATGCTATCTTGAAGGTTAATTATATTTAAAAACCCAGACCCACACACAATCTTACTCAATTTGGAAGGGTTTGGGAAGATGAAACCAAAAATATTTCTTAAATGCTCCAAAAATAAATTTCTGTAGAAACTGCAGAGAGAACTGTATTTCGCCTTTTGGCTTTCCATAATACAACACGTGGGTTAGTCTAGTAATGCCACAGTCCTTAAATATCTTCAAAATGTACTTTTCAACACTGTCATATTCTAAAACAGGATTAAAATGTCTCTAAGTCAAAAGGTAAATTTCATTTTGGTCAGGAACACAAAGTAACAAAAATACACACAGAAACAACAAGGTATCCAGAAAATGTTATTAATAGACTGATATTTTGTGGCATGCTACTAGGCTCTCTCTCATTCTCATTTTTTAAGTATAACAAATTGACACAGAAGACATGTTTATTAAATCTGAGTATAACAAAAAGCTAAGAAGATTATTTTGGGTAACACCACCAAGACTCAAAGATTTTAACAAGCTGATTCAACCAACTGAAACCAAAAGAAAAAATTTAACCAAAACAAATAGCAATTTCCACATTCAAGTTCAAACAACCAATTGTGCAAATAAAGAATAGGGGTGCCTGGCAGGTCTGGAGTGTGCTTTGATACAGGGACACCTCAGGCACTGCTGTGTTCAAGTCTACACTAAACAGTGCCAGCTACTCTTTTTTAGTTTCTGCATTTTTTTCTGTCTTCTGTCAGCTGTCACTTCTTAGGTTATCAGCTTGTTTTGTCTCACTTCCAATTCACTGCTTCTAATCTACATTAGCTCTAGGAAAACTAGATAATTGAGCAAATGGGAACTATGTCCAAGTTGCAGAGGGGCCCAGAGGGTTTTATGAGTTTTGCTATACATATCTTGATTTTCAGAAGACTTTTCTGCTTTTATCCTCATTCTTGGCTATACCACAACTGCAGGACATGCAAGTGTTGAATAGGTGATGTATTTCTATATTACATGCAGACTGTGGAAGAAAAGTGCTCAGTTTTGTGCTGGTCAGACCATTTCTGGAATACTGTTTTTCAGTTCAGATCAACAACTACAGCATATGCAGTAATGAGACCGGCTGGTGAGGAAGTCTAGAGGTCATATTATTAGTAAATTAATATTAGACCAAATGAATGTGCTGGGAATATTTAACCTTGGGACCTTTTAAGATGGAACAAAAGGGACTGAGGGGAGGTGGGGGAGAGCTGCCATCAGAAAACCTGAAGGGTGACCACAAGCAAGTCACAACAGGCTTATTTCCCATTGCTCAAGTGGGATGATCTATAAACAGTAGTCAAACATTACACTAAAGCAAATTTTGGTTTAAAGTAAAGACAAATGTTTAAAATGTCCAACAGTAAAGCAGGCTGCTTTTCTAAGGAGCAAGCTACTTAACCTTAAAGTGCTTATTAAGTTTAGGCTGGAGCCTCATTTTTCTGGGATGCTGGAGAAAGAATTCCCGCACTGGACCAGAGGTTAAACAACATTCTTTAGACTCTTCCAAAACAAGGCAGTTAACAAGAAATTCATTTGCAATTAATTATGCGTAACACATCATAATTTATTTTGTCACATAAGCTGGAATGAAAAGGTAAATAGATACTAGGAAAATATCGGTTTAGATTAACCTATCGAAATAAACTACCTATACCAATAAAATGATGCAGAAGCAAGAAAGACTTACCTCCTGAACAGAACATGGCAAAACCACACGACTAAAAAGACAAAAGAAAAAAATATATACATTACATATGAAATAGTCAGCTTTAAAACAGATCTGTAAAGCGCTTTTACCGTAAATTCAATTATATCGTATAAGAAGACACTTAAATCCAAAAGTACAAGGATGTCATTTATGGAAGAGGGTCTCTGCAATGTCTACAGCCCTAAATATGGGTTAAGCTGGGAAACAAACGATGGTTCCTGGATCTCAATGATCATTTGCTTTTAGCATCCTCATTGTGCTGGGACCCCAAAGTGCAGTAGCAGAGATTCTTGTGAAGAGTACAAAACAACAGAAAACTCATCATTGAAAATTGCAGGGTACAGAATGTATTATTTGTAGATTGTGTGGTCAGGTTGCCCTCATGAAATTTTTAGTGTAGTTTCATTCTCCGCCTATATACGGTGCATTTTGTTTTTATGATACTTCTCACAGAATACATATCTTGAATATCATGAATGAACACTTCCAGAAACTGTTCCCGCACTACTCAATTATTCCTCAAATTTAGTAAGATAAAATAAGGGGTCCTTTAAAATTAATATGAAAAAACTTTACCATGGAAACTACCTCAAACCTTGTAATAGTCCCTTCCAGGGTAGATTCAATATAAGGGTGATGTGTCTGATCCTGTCCAAGGGAGTTTGTTATTGGACATACCCAAAGGATTATCATTATAGCTCCATTTTACCTACAACACAGTCTTAAAGATGAATTCCTAAAATATTATGGCCTATTATTTTATGTGAGAATATTGCATTTTATCTCCAGATTTTTACAGGGAGATTCCTTAACTTATTTCCACCATAACTCTGAAAGTCAAGACTCTCCCTGTCTCATAATAACAGCTGGTTCCAAGACAGCAACTTACTTTTGGGGAGATGGAGGAGACACGGTCCTTCTCAGACTTCTCTCCTCATCTTACACAACTGTCATTTTATAGAAAATTCCTAACAGCTTTCCTCATTCCAATTTTTCTTCAGCTGCAATTTCTCTTTTTATTATTTTCTTATAGTAAACGTCATTTACTTTATTGTTTGTATTAGTGACAATCTTTTCGATCTAGACATTCTTGTTTAATAGTCTTACACATAAATATGAAATGAAAGAATATTACCCAGAATATTATATCTAGTTTTCATTCCAGCTACACTTTCTACCTACCCCTCTCGCCCTATTCTCGTCAATCGCTGATGCCTGAACATTCACATCGCCTTAGTCTCCAAATGTCCAAAACATATCTCCTGTATTCTCTCCTCCTCGACTACTGGGAGTCACTCATTACCCTTTGTCTTTCTGATAACAGTGATTCAAAAACAATGAACATTCTCAAAGTCACAATGGTTACTAATTTCCATTCTCCATCAAGAATAAACTTCTTGTAAGTCCTTCCATACCTAAAAATCTCTAATCATCTTAGCTGTCTCCTCAGGGAGCACACTAACTTGCTCACTGTCTTAGTAAACAACATAAACTGGGGGAGGGGAGGCTAGAAAGATACACATTGGGAGTATATTTTCAGGGCCCGGAATAATATGGTAAGAAATTATTAAATTCATTAGGCAACAAAGAATCCTGGGAAGTGGTTCCAAGAGGTAAATGGCAGTTAAAGCTGACCTGAGGAAGTCATCTGCAGGTGATTAAAAGCATTGAGAAGCAGGAGAATGGGGAAAAGCCACCTTTTGGGAGGATGGGAAAGGGTTATTAACAAAGGCCTGAACCAAGATGATGGACTGTAGAGGAAATGGAAGGGCTAGAAGGGGAAGAGTTAAAAGTCTTCCTTGAAGTTTCACAAAACCAAAGAATCACAGCTGAGTAATTGCAACAAATACTCACTTAGGAGGAAGATCCCCATTTTTTATTTAACAACACTTTCAGAGTAATTTCTTTCACAAAATGAAAGTGACTGATTAAGATTCTGATGATGAGTCAGGTAACTTCTTCAAGATTTGCTCAACCAAAAGGAAAAGGAAAAAGGAACATATTGGTTTTGCTATTCCATTATCATTCTAAAAACAGTATTCAACTTCTAGTGCAATCCGAAGATTTTCAAACATCTTTGAAAATAAGTTTCCAAATAGAACCAGCAAGCAGTTCTTTAAAACCAAGACTTGAATGGTATTTGTCTATTGTTTAAGTAATAACTTGAAGGGAACCTGCCCATCCCTAAAGTCATTTCTAACCTTTTAATTCTTATCAAAAATGGATGAATTTTATAAGATAACAAACATTTGCCAAAGTATTTTAGTTACCAATATCTTCACATAGGAATGACCTATTATTTATTCATTGCTCCTGACCAAAACAATTTTAGAAAGTTGACTTGAGAGTAGACGAGTCATTTTTTTCATTCAAGAATGCTGAAGACTTACGGTGCGCTAGCTAGACTAGATGCTGTGCTAGACATTGGGAATACTTAAAATAAGAAACAGCCTCTAACTTCAAACCATCTAAAGGGAAAAACAAAACCTAGGGGAGATGTACACAAGGAAGTGAACATCAAGAAATTTAATTTATAACTCCTTAGAAAAAATAGACTTTGGGCATATTTCATTATTCGTTACCTCAGTACATTTAAAATTTTATGATGAAAATAAAGGTTTCCAAAAAGCATAGTACGCAAATTCCCAATGGAAATTGCTTTCCATAAGTTAGTTTGCTACTACTTACATAACTGTCCAAGGGATCTACTGAACAGTTAATCCACATTTTTGGAGGTAGGAAGTAACTAATTAAAGAAAAATGACTAGATCTCTGATCTAAAATCACTTCTGAAACTCACTGGCTACGTAAGTCGAGCCAAGTCAATTTCCTTGTCTTTTTTGCTCCATTTGTCTTAATATCTGCTACCTACCTACATCAGAGAGATGTCAGAGTAATAAATAAGGTGACACTTGCACAATACATTGTATAAACATGTAACAAAACTTTTATATAAACCCAATGTTCAGTACTACAAATAAGCTTCATTGCAAAATTTCACTCTACAACAAAAGGCAAAAATGTCTTTTCTCAAAATGTCACTGATCGAAGTTATAATTTTTCATCAATTTATTAACAAATACTAACTGAGCACCTACTATGTCCCATGGACTACTCTGAAAGCTGGGGATATGGAGGTAAGCAAAACAGGCAAATTCATGGAGCTTACATGTAGAAAGAGACCACATCTAGTAGAAGGATAGAAAAAATAAACTGTGCTGCATGTTAGATGGCAATAAGTGCTATGCAGACCAATAAAGCAAGGAAGGAAACTACTACCAATTGGTGGGAATGGCAATTAGGTCTTCAGAGGATTCCCTGAGAAAACAACATTCCAGGAAAGACCTGCAAGGAGGTGAGTCAGGGATCTAAGGTAAGAGCATCTCAAGCAAGGGGAATAAAAGCAAGCAGAAAGGCCTGGAACTGAGCTTATTCTAAAGTAGTGGAGGAACAGCAAGGAAGCTTGTTAGGCTGGAATGGGAGAGGAAAAAATTGTAAATGAGATCACAGCAGAAAAGAAAACAGTGTGAGGCTTTGTAGACTGTTGTAGAAACTTTGATTTTTATTCTTGGTGATATAGAGTGTCTTCAGAGAGTATTAAGTAGAGAAGTGACATCAGTGACTTTTTAAGGGAGGTTTGGAAACACTACAAATAAGGTGTCTGGAGATAGCTAAATTAAGCAAAAAACATTTTTAAGAATTTAAAATAAAAAGAGAATGTGAAAAACAACAAAGAATGGGCCATACTCTAAATCCCTAGTTGCCCAAGGGATGCTGACGACACGAACCAGCTATGACAGCTGAACATTCATTTCCAGGCAGTCCTTGCCAGTGCAAAAAGCTATGACTTTTCAACAAAATCGCTCGGCCGGTCTGATGCACCTGGAAACCCCTCCACTTGACAGAACACGTGTTAACTCCTCACTTCAACTCAGTGAAGTGGGTGGGGCCCAAAGTGTCACCTCATCTTAAAAGATGCGGAAACTAAGACTCAGAGCAGAGATGGCTCTCCCGTGAAGTCATCTGAGAAGCCCAGAGGAGAGTGCAGGTTTCCTAGACTCCGGACTCCTGCATGAACTTCAGGGCGCCAACGTCCTACCTCGAGTCCTGACACCAAGGCTGCCTTCACCTCACAAACCCATCTCCCGCCGGTAACAAGCAGAAGCAGGCTCCACCCCAGACAACAAATCACTGTCGGACTCAACGTGTCTCCCCCACCCTCGGACTACAGCTCCGTCCCCCCAACCGGCCCAGACCCAGACTGGAGGTGGAGGGTTGCTGAGAAGGCGGGTCCCAGCGGAAACTCCCGGCCGCGCCTTCCCCAGCCATGCGCTCGGGCCTGGACCAGCCGCCTGCGCCCGGGGGCAGCGGGCAGCCGTGTTATCACGGGCGAGCCTGGCAGGTCGGGCAGCGCCCAGTGGAGGGGCCTCAGGTGGGCCGGGGTCGCGCGCCGGGAGGAGGCGGCGCGCAAAAGGAGCGGCTGGCCCGGGGCTCTCTCCGCCTTAGGAATATTCTGACACTTCTCAATCAACAGATCTCCCCCGACCGCCGTGGCGAACTCTCGCTCGCGCCCACAGACCCACTCACAATTCCTTAATCAGCACCATTTTCCCGGAACCCCCTCACAGCTGCCGCCGCTACCACCACCGCCGCCGCCGCTAGCGCCTCTCACGGCGACTGCGCGGCCCCGCCTCCCTGCCCCGGAGCCACTGCCGCGCCTGCGCGCCTGCACCCTTCCGCCGCGACCCATCGCGTCAGCGCGCAAGGAGGCCTAGCTCCGCCCAGTTCCGTGCCCCACCCCGGGCACACGAGACCCCTACTGCGGCTGCGCGGCCCGCTGGAGCACGTGCGGCTTGTACCACGGCTGCGCAACCTCGGCGCGCGCGCACGCTCGGCGGCGTCCGACGGCTCCTCCCTCCATCCTAACTCCCTCGGGGCGTCTGTGCAGCCTACGCTTTCCGGTGAGTTTTCTAGTTGGTTCCCTGGTGTAGCGGTGACGAGTTTTCAACTCTGCGTCACTGCTCTGAGAAGGGGCCCACCTTCTTGACCGACACCTCACTCCCCAAGTCCGTATGAGGGAACTTTAACGGGTTCTGGAGGCCGACGACGCTGGGTTCTGTTTCCCTCCCGGGCCCTGTTAGCTCAGATTCCGCAGGAGGATGTATCCGCCTGTTTCACCGCTCTCGTGGAGGTTCCAGAAGCCCCGTGAGTGCAGCCGTCTGACCAACGCTCACCTTGCTAGGGCCGGCAGCTGTGGCCACCCGCGTTTCCCCACGCCCAAACCCACCCCTGCCCGAGAATCCAGAATCACACACAGGTGACTCGACAGGGTGAGCGTCCAACACTCCTGACGAAGTCCCCTTTGGGGAAAAGAGGCGCTTGCCCTTGAGACCCAGAAAAAGGGTCTGTTCTGGGAGGACATTAGCGCCGTCACAGTGAATGCCCACCGGCTTCAAAGCCAAAATTTGGACCTTTGGATGAGTTCCTAGCCCAGGGGTCACTGCCTTACTCTATGCCAGGCACAGGTATAGGCAGCAGGGATATGTCTAGGAATAGAATAGACACAGTTTCTGTCCTCAAGAAGCTCACAGTCTAGAGGAGGCGATAACTCCCTTGGAAACAAATAAGAGAACTCGAGGGTGGTGGTAAGTGCTATGATGTGAATGAATTAGAGTAATGGAGGCGGAGGAATCAAGGGAAGGGCAGCCTCAGGAGGCCGTGTTTGAACCCAGCCTGTGAAGATGGGAGAGGGGCATTCTAGTTAGAGGAAAACAGGCTTCGAGGCGGGAGTAAGTTTAGGGTATTTAGGGAGCAGCTAGAGGGCAGGTATGGCTAGAGCATCTTCGGGATGAAAATAAGCTGGGGCCAATTAGATCACAATTTGCATTCTATACGAACCATGGAAAGCTGTTGAAAGATTAATTAAAAGAATGAAAAAATCATTAAAACTCTTCTGTATGAACCTCTCGTATATTTTATACTGGAATACAACTGCTGAGTTGGTGCTGCCTCAAAAAAAGTAATGGAAGTGAAATATCTACCAAAATGCTAGAAACTTCCTCCTATGGCAGTGTCTGGGAGTCATTGAGTTTATGCTATATGTGAATTGTACTCGTTTTTGTGAGGGCAGAGATGTAAGGAAATACATGCTCTTTCAAGGAATTTAGAAGCTGAGAATCCTTTGCACTGATTGGACACCTGTTTTATGCCGAGTACTGTGCTGGGTAGTGGAGATGCTTTATTCACCTTTAGAAAACACTATGAGATAGTATTTTAGCATGCTTTAGAAAGGGGAAAAATGAGATTCAGGTAGCCAAGTTAAGTGACTTGTACAAAAAGTACTCAGCCTGTTTGCAGATCCAAAGTCTCGTCTTCTGTTAACACCGATTTTTTAGATAAAAGTAAAAAAGTTGGGGCATGCAGAAAATTTTTATGACAAATAATTGTTTTTTTAATGGGAAGAAGGAAATTATCAAAATCTAGAAGATGTTTAGAGACAGAAATAAACTACAGATTTGAATACTATGCACCTGTATACTAGAGTTAGGAGGTGTTCTTTAAAGTCCAAGGAGGTAATATTAAGATTAGTTGCCAACTTTATATATAATAGTCGTTATATGTTGCAGTCTTTCCGCAAATGATGTGTTTGTTGAAAGTATAAATAACTGTTTAAATGTGGCTAAATATGTTACATGCTTTATCAGTCATTAATAAAAATTGGGACGTTTCAGATCATTTCTTGAAATTTTGAAGTCTTCCCACAAGTGTTCACTAATTCCATTGTCTGCACAGCACAGTTCTTGCTCATAGTTACTCAAATGTTTATAAAATAAACAAGACAGTGGGCTGGATGGCCACTGTCTTGATGGCTGGATGGCTCTGAACCAGTATGCAGTATAAACGGTGTCTCCCTTTCCTGTTGTTAAAGAAGAAAATTATTTAACGGTATTTGTTAAAGCATGGTAAGGCAGACTTTATTTAGGACCTTCACAGTAGCTGTAGGAACCGCTGCAGTGGGATTTTGCTGCAGGGTAGAGAGATTGGGCTCAACTCTGAAAACAGCATGGGCAAGTGGGAATTTATAGCCAATAAGCAAGGCGGGGGCAGGAATCAGTGATTGGAAAATTACTAAGAAGAAACCAGGGGTAAGGGCAATTCTGGCTACAGTGACCTAACAGAATTCTTGCTGAAGACATAATCAGACATCATCTGGGAGAGGGCAGAGGATGAGGAACCTGATCAGATATCAAGGGTGATCAGATAGCAAGGATGAGGGGTGCTTGCTAAAACTGGATTTTATGACTAAGTGCACAGATAAGCCTAGGCCTGACTGAAGTTTGATCAAGCAGAGAATCTTTGTCATCATCAAAAGATTCAGTTGAGAAACAGGATAGATTAGGAAAGTAACCAGTTTATATTTGTTGCGAGAAAGAAAATACACTAATTCAAAATTAGGTGGGTAGAAAACATGAAATCTACATAACGAAACAAAATCCTACAGTACATCTACTTAACGGATAAAAATGGCAGAATGAAAGAATTATGAGGGGAACTGGAAAGTAGGAAAGACATGAACCAACACTGAAAATGAGAGAAAAGGACATATAAGGAAAAAGACTAATACTCATGAAAGAAAAGACTAATGGATTAACATCTCCATTGTGTGACATTTTCTTATATTACAACTAAAGATGAACCCTGTGGTGCATTTTTGTAAATATGGATATAAGGTGGAATATAACTTAGTAATTGTGTCTAGATATCAAAAAGATCCAACCTCTTTTTATAAGCCTGATGTTCTTTGTTCTAACTTTCAGTTCTCAACAAAGGTCACTTTTACTCACAAGATGTCCAGTTGAATTAAATTAATTTTATCAGCCTTATATAACCACGAATTTCATTATTTGTATGTAGTTTTGGGGCAAAGAGCTCATAACAGTATGAATAGTGGTAGATTTTACTGAGGCAAACCAAAAGATTTCTGAGCACAAGCAGTGTTGAAACACTCATTTTATGCACTGGTTGATATAGCACAACTCTGGTAAAAAAAAAAAAAAGAAGTTTGAACCGTTCTTTAAATCTGCACTCCTCAACCCCTAGACTGTGGACTGGTAGGAATCCGCCAGCACAGCCCAAGGGGATCAGCAGGCAAGCAGCAAAGCTTCATGTGTATTTACAGCTGCTTCCCATCACTTGCATCACCGCCTGAGCTCCGCCTCCTGTCAGATCAATGGCAGCATTAAATTCTGCATTATGGTGAGTCGTATGATTATTTAATTGTATATTACAATGTAATAATAGAAATAAAGTGCACAGTAAATGTAATGTGCTTGAATCATCCCGAACCCCCCCCCTCCACCTCAGGGCTGTGGAAAAAGTGTCTTATATGAAACCAGTCCCTGGTGCCAAAAAGGTTGGGGATCACTGCTTTAAATATAATAATTGAACTTAGCCTGCCTCCCTCCCTCCCTCCCTCCCTCCCTGCAGCTAAAGTAAGGGTTCTTAACCTGGGGTCCAAAGGCCTTTTGGTAGGGCTCCAGGGAATTTGTGAACCAGTGAAATTATGTACATAACTTCATGTCTATGTACATTTTTCTTCTATTTGCCTTGCTTAACTCTGCATTTTGCCATCCCATTTCTTTTTTGTTTATCCCATTCCAGAATGATCTTGATTGAGAATGTCTATGAAAACTAGAAATATTCCTAGGAATGCTTTAATTTTGTTAAACATCAAGACATAGATCACAATATTGTACTGTTGCAGGAGAGACAGAGTTGGGCTTTGGAGTAGAAAGACCTGGGTCTGAATCCTGGCTCTGCCACTTGCTAGTCTGAACTTTGAGAAAATTACTTATCTCTCAGAGACCTCAGTTTATGCATCTAAAAGAGGACTACTAATGTCTACATTTACAACAGATTTGTTCTAAGAAATAAAAGATGAGGTATATAAAGCACCTGTGCTACATACTACCTGATATGTAATAGGTGTGCAGTGAATGGGAACCATTTAAAAGCTTCCATAGAACAGAAACAGAAATTTAAGATATAAATCCCTAGAGATAACTGCTGTCTTTGATCGCTATTATTCTGATGCATAAAGAAGAATGTGTATGTGCATTCATACCTGTCTTCTTATGGGCTGTGATAATTCACCTTTTCCCTGCGGTGCATAATAAAGATTTCTGTTTTTGTCATCACCAACATTTAGTATTGTCAGAATTTTTATATTTTACTAGTTTATTGTTTTTAAAGTGCTATCTTACGTGTACAGTTTGTGTTTCCTGCAGGGTAAGGATCTTTTCATATGTTTACTGCCCATATTATTCTTTCCTCTTTTTCCTGTTGGTCTTGTTTTTTTTCTTTTTGACTTGCAAGATACACATGCACACGTATATATTTACATATTCTGCATTTAAATCCAATTTTCTTTAATACTTTGAATATTTCCTTTCCATCTGTGCATTGTTCTGTCACTTTGTTTATATCTGGGTTTCTCAACCTCTGTTGTATTGACATTTTGGGTCAGATAATTCTTTGTTGTTTGCAGAAGCTGTTCTGTGCCTTGTAGAATGTTTAGCAACATCACCTACCTCTATTTGCTGCATGCCAGTAGCAGCCCTCTAATCATGAGAATCAGAAATGTCTCCAGAACATTGTCCGATGTCCCCTGGT